CTCTTCTAAATCCAGCAGGATACCTGATGGGGTATTTGGGAGGTGAGGTTTCCACTGAGCTGTGTCTTTGCACAGTTCATGTGAGGCTGAGAAACCATGCTGGGGCTTCACCCAAAACCAGAACAGTAACTCCAGGTTAGAGCTATCTATCTATCTATCTATTTATTTGTCCATCTATCATCTATCTATTTGTCCATCTATCTATCTATCATCTACCTGTATTATTTTTCCTTCATCTATTCCAGAGAATAGGAAATGGCTGTCTCCCTGGGGATGCTTTGAAGCAGGATAATAAATAGCAGCCCTGGGACTTGCTCTTTCAGCTGTGTTCTTCTAACTAATAACATGCATCTTGGATTTCCCATACTGGCTCCCATGAGTAGGTGACTTTGTTCAGGATTTGCACTGGTCCAAGATGTCCCCAGCAAATATGGCTTTGCACAGGTATCTTGGTGTGTTTCATAGTGTTTTCTTTTGCTCTCTGTTAATAGTTCACCTGGTTTTCAATTATTCATTCATTAAGTGGCTCAGATGGGAGATGGAATCACACTTAAAAGATGTGAGAATACTTAAACCACTGCATGACCGAAAGGATGTGAAAACATAATCTGAGACATCATTTTTATACCATTATGAGCCCTACTTAAGTACTGTGAGGGGATGGGAGATGAAGGGATGTGGTGTCACACAGGGCATGGGTTATTGGTTGTGTTGGTGCTGCTTACATCCAATACAATAAACCCCATAAATAACTATTCTCTAATTTATTAGTAACCTACAACTAATAGCAATGAATCAATTCAGTGCTGCAGCTAAGAGAAGCTGCGCATTAAATCTGTGTCTCAGCTACATCAGCCTGTCCTTTGCTGTAGCAAACTATAAACCTTTTCTCCTACTCCGCCTGCCTCTAAGCAGTGAAAAGTAAAGGTTAAAATGCTGCTCATGGAGGGAGCAGTGTTTGGGTTCTGGGGCTTGAAGGAGTAACATGTGGTGGTGATATGCTCTTTTATAGTGCCTCTATTCTGGGATCTCAAAATGTCATCAAGGCTGTTAAGTAATTAGAGCCTGTCAGCACCTTCACAAGCAAAGGTGGTGTTTTAATCACTGATAGCCAAGTGCTTTGAGCTGCTGCATGGTGCTTTATGGGGAAGGAAGGGAAACCTTGGTGTGTTAGAAGTGGCAGGGATTGGAGGCAATGGGGTTTGGGTGCACACCCTATGGATGGGGAAACTGAGGCAGGGTGAGGGTGAGTCACTATGAGCTGGGAGTCAGCGCTTGGACCACCACCCCATCCCCAGGGGGTCCTTGCATCCCATTGCTGATGGTGTTATCTTCAACACGATACCTCCAACCATGGATGAGCACCCCAGTATGGGCAGCAGTGGGGACGTGGGATGTCTGTTCATTCCTTTGTGTTTGCAAAGCTCTGGGTAAGGCGATTTTGAAGGTTACCTTCAACATCTAAAGCATTTGCTTGAGAAAACTGAATAAAGGCTCCAAAAACCCAGGCTCTGGCCAGGAGCCAGGGTAATGTTCCCTGATCATCCTCTGCAGTGCTTGTCATCCTTGCTGTACTCCCAGAGTTGAAGGTAGATGTCTGTTACCACTTTCCTGTTCAGGCTATGGACCCTTCTCATCTTGACCCTGGCCGCCATGGGGACAACGAAGTGTCTTTTAAATTAAGCCTCAGGTTTTCATAGTCTGGAACATCACCATGTCAAACCTCAATACTGTGCTGGGCAATGGATTTTAATGCTGCTGCTGCCTCTCCTCTGTTGCAACCAAAGGTGCTTTAGGGCATTTTTGGGTTGCATCAGCCAGGCAGATGTGAGATGAGCTGGGTGCAGTGAGGGTGGCTTGGAGGTGGGTAGAGGGGACCACAAGTGATGCTGCTGCCCTGAACCAGGCCACCATCCCTCCCCACCTCTCTGGGGTGGTTTGGGGGATGAAGGGCCTGCAAAGGAAGCATCCCTTTATGGATATCTCTTCTCTATCACCCCCAGTGTGTCTTATCACACACTCAGGGATGCTTCTGCATCTTCCCAATAGCATCCGCAGCAGACGGGCTCATCCCCGCGCCCCCGCTGGCAGCAGAACCAGCTTCCCCCATTGCTGCTGAGGCAGCTGGAGCCGATGCTCCACCAGCCTGTGAGCACAAAGCTGCTTTTGCCTGTGTTATTTTGGGCTATTGCAGCATTTCTCTTGCTCTCATGGGAAACCGGCAATAGCAGAGCTGGTGGCATCTGCGCTACTGTTGAGCTCGCTGCTGACGCTGAGCTGCTTCCAGGTTTTGACCCAATTTGGTGCAGTTTTGAGGGGCAAGGACCTGCAGGAAAAGATAAAAAGGCATCGGGAAGGTGCTGCGGGTTTGGGAAGCATCAAGCTTCCTGAAAGCTTCTCAGTGCAGAGTGTTGGAAGGAAAACCCACTTTGGGACTTGGTGCCATTGCCAAGATCAACCCCAAATCAGCTGCTATTGCAAGGCTGTTTGTGTTTGCACCCCTTGGATAAGGCAGCAGGGCCTGGCTGGATCCTGCCTTTGCCTCCTGCTGCTGCCTGGCATGTGTGGGGCTTCTGTAGGTAGCAGTGACATTCCCGGTGAGTTGCACCATGGCTTGGCAATGGCTGGATGCTTTTGATGGATGGTTGAGGCCCTTTGATAAAGGCCAGAAGAAATGCAAGGCTCTTGCCAATATATGCAGTAACTCTTCTCTGACTTCTGGTTTTTCCTTGTGTTTTTCCCTTGGCTGATATTCCTAGAAGTATAACTGATATGCTATCAACATCAGTTTTCCCTGTTCCTGTCAGCATCGTACAGCTGGGGACATCCCTCCTTTTTCCCCCCTAGTGCAAGCATGGCCACAAAACCAAGCTCATAAAGCTGCTCACCCCAGCCCTGTCTCTCTAAAGCCCTTTCGTGCCCTGCAGTGGATGAGGCTATTGAAACTCTACAGCAATGTGCCCATGTGTCTTTTTGAGCTCTGATGGCTCCCAGTGAGCTGTGTCTATCACTCGCTGCATGGAGGGGGCAGAACTGGGGCAGTGCTTATGAATGGTCCCCACCAGCATGGAGGAGTTCTTTCCAGCTGCATCCACATGGAGCAGCTTCTTGCTCCCATGCTGGACCTGCCCTAACATCACCGTTACAACTGATCTACTACTTGTTGCCTTTGCTTAATGAAGTCTAGCAGGTCTAATGGCACTGCACGTAATGAACTTTGAAAGGTAAATCTGTTTTGATGCATGTTTGACAAACTCCAAAGTGCTTTCTTCTTTGCTCAACAAGTTTTCCTGGCTCCCATCAGCTGGGAGAAGCCCAAGTGCCCAAATCGATCGGGTTCCACTTGGATAATTGCGATGGGGATTTGGTTCATTACATGAAGTGGCTGCTCAAGTGGATAATTGCAGATCTTGAGGTGTTTGTCCTACTTGCTGCTTTAGATTGAAGCGTATTTAGGTGCAATTTCACAGGTGTATAGGTACAAAACGACTTCTGTGGGGACACTGTGCGTGCATTGACAGCATCACAAAGCTCAGTAACTCCTATCTCGGTGTTGGAAGGAAACAGATGGGAAGTCAAAGCACCAGGAGCCATTTCCAAGGCCCCCAGGGATGATGGGGACTGGGGAGTCTTTACAATGCTCCTGTGATGCTGGAGACCTTCTGGCTTGTGTTTCCAATGATACTCGGAGACCTTCAGTGTGGTCTGATTCCAGCAGACTGCTTCTGTATTCGTAAACTAACCTTTATCCAGTCACTAAAGGGTGGTTTGCTCCAGGTCATTCCCATTGGACTGGGGCACAAGTGGGCAATATGAATGTTAAATGATGTGAAAAACCTGTACTCGCATAGACGTGGGTTGTCTTGATGTGGTTGGAGTCACCATTCCTAGGGATAGGGACCTGGCTTCCCTATGGAGTGCGCTGAACACTGGCTTTTCCCAGGGAATAACAAACACCAGCGCTTGCGTAAAGCCCCTGATGCCTTCTGCACTACTTCTGCAAATAATCCTTGTTTATCATTCACTCTTGGCACAAAAAGACCTTTAAATTATTAAGGCACTAAATATTTTGCAGTGAAGGAATGGAGATAAAGCTCTTGGCAGAAACAAACTGCTGGGGAGAGGTTCCCTTCAGTGTGTTCGGTGCTTTAAAGTATGAGGAGAAATAGCATGTGGGGGGACTGGGAATTCCTCACTTGATCACAAGATTTGCTTCTCTTAAAGCAGCTGCTTGGTGTGTGCTTTCCATAGACTTCTAAATACGGATTGGCCCTATAGCACCATATGGGTACCCAAAGCTGTCCCAGCTCACCATGGGGATGGAGGTTGCCCGTTGTGGTTGAAGTGGCTTCATCCTGCCCCCAGCTCCACCACAGGAGTTTTTAAAGCCATTTCCTTGTGCTCGATGCTTCCTTGAGGGCAGTTCCAGTGGGAGCCCTGCCACAGGCCTGAAGCTCCTCTGGCTTCCAGTCATGGGACTCTATCCACTCTTCAGGAGTGGGATGTGCTGGTGGTGGTTCATGGTGCAGGTGTGTTGTGTGTGGCTGGTGTCCTACAACCAGCCTGTTGGTAAATCAGGGGTGAAACAGAGGATCTGATAAGCAGTGATTCTGCCACCTATTGCTGACTTTATCCTCATATTGCAGGAGCTAGCACTTGGCTCCTGGAGGCATGTAACCAGACAAGTGTGTATGTATACGTTTGCATATCAATGTACAGACACTATATATAGCTACATATGTATGTGTTTAAATAGTTAAACCTGTGATCTAGCTCTTCTTTGGGGAGAGATTTCAAACATGAACCGTGGGGTTTGAACCCTCGGGTCCATAGCATCCCCCAGGATGCTCACAACAGTTGTTTGTATCATCTCATCACCTTAAAGCATCTTACAGCGCCGATGCTTCCAGCCTGGGGTAAGCAAGGGGAGGGCAGAGACACTGGTCCTGCTCAGTGCATGTCCCCATCACATTGGTTTCAGCTTCTCTTTCCCCTTGCAGGAGACCTGTGCAACTGCAGCGCTGTGGGCAGTGCCAGCGTGGAATGCAACAGCACCACGGGGCAGTGCCCCTGCCTCGAGGGCTACACGGGGCTGCGCTGCGAGACCTGTGCCCAGGGCTTCTTCCCAAATCCAGATGCTCAACATCGGTGCCATCCCTGCGGATGCAGCCCCGCCGGCTCCCTCAGTGCCCAGTGCGATGGGTGAGTAAGGTGGTGCTTCACTGAGCTGTGTGTGTGGCATCAGGATATGGGGTTATTTTGGGATGCGGGATGCAGATCGGGCAAGGATGGATCTTGGCATCTGGTGCTGGTATTTGGGGGGGGGGGGGAAGAGACATGGAAAAGCAGGAAGGAAGCTGGGCTTATAAAAATTCATGAAGCATGCTCTTCCTGTCTTTCAAGAGCTGGAGTATAAAATTATCTATAGCTGTGGCACAAGCCCTGGCAGCCCACAAGGGAGGTAACTTGTGTTTCTGAGTTGTATGGAAGCAGAACATCTCCTCTTGTGCATCCTCTCGTCCTTGCGCATCCATTAGTCCCTACTGGATGGGACCGCCTTCATGCTCGAGGGGAGGTGGGGTGGAGCACAGCTTTGGAGAGGTTTATTTTCCATAGGGTTATTTATTACATGGAGGCACATGAAGCTTTATGCTCTGCCCTTGCCATGCAGCAGCCCGACAGCAGTGTCAGCTCCTGCCTTGCCTGTTGTTTAACCCTGCCACCTCCTCTCCTTGGCTGTGTTAAGAAAGTCACCACAGCTGACGCTTTGAGCTGTTGTATAATGAATGTGTTCCTCTTCATTTCACCTTACCCACCCTCACATTGTTTCTTTTAAAAGCCAGCATGCAATTATCTCCATTTCCAACCAGTGATCTGTCACTCAGATTTGTTGCTGAGTTGAGGGTGTCTCTGTGTTACTGCATAGAATGGGCTGAGCAGCAGCCTGACCCTTTGGGATGCTCTAGCCTTCCTGGGCTCCCTTCTCCTGCTGCCACCAGCAAAGGTGTTCCCAGTGCTCCAGGGCACTGCCAGGAGGGTGATACCTGTGTGCGGATGCAATGAGCTTGTGCTGGCATCAGCCTTGTTGTCTTTTAGGGCTTGGTTGCAGGCTCAGCGTGTGTTGAACATCTGCACTTTCCTGCCCAGGCTGGGGCTGAGTCAGAAGCGACATGTGCTGCAGGGACATGCTCTTTGCCATTATTGTATACATATATTTTGCCGTTCCAAACACCCAAACCCTCTGCTGATGTCCTTCCTTTTTGTTTCCATGCTGTATCTTTCTGCTTCTGTAAGCTCTGAAAAATCAGAACTTAGTAATGTTCCAGTTGACTGGAGTGGCTTTCTTACTACAAAAGGTGATTCTTGGGGGTGGAAAGCATAGAGTTTCACTTGGTTTGTTTAGTGGTTTGTATGGGAGGATGTGCCTGGCAGCATCAGGGATTGCCACAGACAAGAAAGAGTTTAGTTGGATTTACTAGAAAGGGAAATTGGGCAGAAAAGCAAATGGGGCAAATCTGATCTTCAAGGGCTGGGAGAGGAGGGAGGTGCTGCTGCAGCAACTGAATGAGCTGGGAGGGAGCGTTCTGAGTCACTGGGCAGCGGTGAAGCGCAGACATGGGTGATGATGTCTCGCATGGAGTGAGCCAAGAAACACCCTTGGGAGCTTCAGGTGAGATGCTCAGAGTTGTGAAGGAGAATGAGGTGGAGCTGGTGCTCATAGTGAGCCATAACTGCAATGTGTACGCACCCAGAAATGGCAGTGGGACCTCCCTTGCTTCTCCTCTTCAGCATCATTATACAGCCTTGAGGGATGTGGGAGATGTGGGATCCTCAGGCATTTAGAAAGGGCAGCATAGGGCACAATTTGGAGGAAGGCTGAGGGAGGAGCACTGATGGTAACAGAGATGGCTTTGTGCTTTGCTTCTCTGCTTGGTGGGGTTTGCTGCAGATGGAGATGACCTCTGGGTGTTTAAAAAGAGGGAAATTAGGTCAGTTGTCTGTGGTGTAGGGCTGGGGGCGTCAGTGTGGCTGTGAGCGGGGCAGCCTCGTGCAGTGATTTATATGGGAAAATGAAGTGGGATGCAAAATCCGGCAGGAAAAATGCACCCATTCCTATTGCATCAAAGCAGGCAGCTGCAGATGGCAAAGTATGGGACTAGAGACATCAGCTGCTGTCAGTGGCTGGGATGGATGCTGGGATGTGGGTACCAGAGCGCATCCCTGTGGTGGGGTCTGTCCCGATGGGTGGGAGAACATCATCTGCATTGCAGGGACGTGTGTGTGTGAATCCAGGGATGGAGGGTTATGCTGGAAACAGTGGGTCTGGAGCCCTGGGTTTGATGTCTACCTGCTGCTGCGTCCCTGGAAGAGCAGTGCATGTCTCTCCATCCCTCTGGGCAATCCCTGCTTGGGATGAGGCTCACAAGCATTGCGCAACACCAGTCACCAGCTTCTGTTTCATTGACATTAAAGCACTGTAAGCTGTATTTTAATGTACTCATTCCTCTACAGCACCAGCCCATCTCTGAGTTGCACAATTCTGTGTGCTGGCTTGAAACAGAAGCAACTGCTGTTGAGATCAGTGTCTGAGTGAAAGAGCAGTGTCATTTTGGACTGTGACCCCCCCAGGTCTGAGGGGCAGGCTGAGCTCTCAGGGCACACAAAACATGCCTCAGCCATTTCAATCCACTTGCCCAGGCTTTTGTCAAACTGCCTTTTAAAGCATCACCATATGATGATGATCAGTGTTATTTCTAGGCATGCTCTGTGGCCGGCCAGATGGCACACCCCAGTACACTGTTTATTAACCAGACCTCAAATGTAGCCCATCAAATACAAATACCAGAAATCCCTTTCCCGAGGCACAGAGTTGATTTTGGGAGTGAACATTGACCTGACATGCTGTCGCTGTGAATGGGCTCCATGGCCACTAATCAAAGGTCTGTTTTGGTGGTGGTTTAAATGTGATTATCTGGGGAGATCCACATAGATCCCCCTCTGGGATGGCAGAGAGTTTCTGTGCTCTGCTTTGGGTGGGTTTTGTGTTAGATGAAAAGCTGTGTGTAGTTGAAGCTGGAGCTTGCTGTGGGGCTGGATGCAATCCTAGGCTGACGTATCTTGGAGAAGGGGGAGTGTGTTGTCCCTACTGCGGTTAACGCCTAGAAACCTCAGATAAAACCACACTGCACTGGGTTGGATGCTGTGTGGATGCTTGCTAAAGATAGCTGTGGCCTGGAAGTGTTCATAGTCCATAGAGGAAGGGTGGAGACAGAAGCTGGGGTTTCAAGTGCTGTGGTCAAGGTCACGGAGTAGTGGAGAACGACAGGGACTCACATGGGTGCATGGAAGGCCTGTGCTCCTGCTGCAAAGCCCTGGTGGTGGTCCCAGCCCATGGCAATGTGGCCCCAGCCACATCAGCTGCATCTCTCACCATCCTTTGGTCCCCTCCAGTTGAAAGCTCTGCTGTCCTTTGAGGAAGCAAGAACATCCCTACCTGCTGGAGAAGGTCACCATACCCAGGCTGGGCAGCCCACATCTCCCAGGCTTGCATCCCTGTGCATTGATTTGTCTGTCATCTTCATACAGGCAGAGTCCTGTGTCTTGCACTCCTATCTCCAACTCCCTATGGCTGGGCAAGGAGCCCCCTTGGGCAGCAGTAGGGCTCTTTCTGCAGTCCTAGCACAGCCCTAGCCTCTGTGTCCTGCATTGTGGCCTTGCCCATTGTGTCCCCAGTGACTCATGGCACATCCCTGGGATGTGGCAGGGCTCTGCCTGGAAGCACAGGGCCAGAGGAAAGTGATTTGGTCCAGGGGAAGCCTTTCCCTGCTGGAATGACACCAGGAGCTCACAGCTCTTTAACTGCATGAGGAAGTAGTTGTCCTGTGTTAACCTGTCCTCTGGCTGATCGATTTAAAGGAGCAGGAGTGCAGGCAGGAAGAGGCAGCCTGTGGCACCCTCCTGGTGAGCAGGAGACCTCAAATGATGCTGCATTTCACTTGTGTATTCATTTGTACTTTCCTAGCAGCCCTGACCAGCCCTGCTCTATGTGCTGCAGGCATAGAATCATGGAATGGTTTGGGTTGGAAGGGACCTCAAAGCTCACCCAGCTCCAACCCCTGCCACAGGCAGGGACCCCTTCCACTAGAGCAGCTTGCTCCAAGCCCCTGTGTCCAACCTGACCTTGAACACTGCCAGGGATGGGGCAGCCACAGCTTCTCTGGGCACCCTGTGCCAGCGCCTCAGCACCCTCACAGGGAAGAGCTTCTGCCTAAGAGCTCAGCTCAGTCTCCCCTCTGGCAGGTTAAAGCCATTCCCCTTGGCCTGTCCCTGCAGGCCCTTATTTCTCTAAGAGCTGAGCTTAAATACTGCTAGTATATAGTCACTTATGAAGGTGATGGGTTTGAAGCCTCTGCATCAAGAGACTGGCATGGTTCAGCCCTTGATTCCCTTTTTCCCTGGGAGGTTTTGGTTTTAAATGAACTCACCCCAGTTCCAGGGAAGAGAAAGTGATGCTTCCGCCTCCAACTTCTGTTGCACTGTACCTGTGCTTGTGAACAAGAGGAGTGCTGCTGTTTGGTGTTTAAGGATTGCCACACGGTTTAACTAAACCTGGATTAAGCATCTAAACCAGGTTAGGCTTTTTCAGCTCCCTTAAGCTCTAAACATAGGTAATACACTGTCATTGTCCCTACTGAAAACAGATGCATATTAAACTGTGGTCTTTATGTTGCTCCCCCTGCCTGTGCCTCAGTTTCCCCACAAGCAGGAGGGTGATGGGAAGCAGAGGCTCCAACATACCTGGAGGTAACATTAGCCTTGGTTCATGTCTGATGCTGAAACACACTGCCCCAGCATGCAGCACTCCATTCCCTCCCTAACTGAGCAGTATTTCCTTACTGCTGGCTGGGGACACAGCTTGCAGCGTGGATCCTGGTTCATGCACGGTTCGTGCCACAGGCTCGGCATAAGTCATGTTAGAGAGAGCTCCTGTCCCTCATTTCCGTTCTAAAAGAAAAGATAAAGCACACATGTGAATGCCAAAGTGTTAATTCAGGGATGTTTTGCCCCCCTCAAGGGCATCTCATGCTTTGTGTTCACATTAGAATTAAGGCAGAGGCTCCCTGAGAGCATTCAGACACTGCTGTCCCCTGGAGCGGGGATGCTGTGGGGCTGAAAGGGGAGTGCTGTTCATAGGGCAGCCT